AATCAAGATAGTTCTGCTTACTAATAAGTGGCTCAAATTATGTACAGATTCCTACAATATAGACTAATATTTGCTGTTCAACTTGTTCAACCCTGCAGTTGAAAAAAAAGTTAACTTATGGGCAATCTTAAAGCAGAGATGGAGAAAGTGTGGTGTTCTTCCAAGTCTTTAGGGGACACTAATCTCTATATAAGTCCTGCATTCCCCATTGCTTGGATTAAATGGCTATTCCTTTATAGCGAACCATGTGGATCATTGGTTTGGCCAGTGCCCTGCCAACTGAGTTCAACTTCCTTAAAAGTATGTACTGGTTAATCCAAATGAGGGGGCTTGTAATCCACTCTACATCCTATGCTGCAGAAACTTGATATACATAGAATGTGAGCTGCTACCACACTGGGCTTGGAGGCACTGTGTGGCCCCGGACACTGTTCAGCACTCCCTGCCCATTAGCACAGCTTGCCTCTGCATTCTCAACAATGGAGGAACAAAGGTGACCTTATCTCTATCTCCCAACTATGGTTACCTGTGCCCTTCCACAGGAGGTAGAAGACCAGAGTCATGTGTGGATGGTTTGGAAGCCACCCTGGGAAGGCCCATGGGCTATTAGACTGAGTTCCTGTCCCCTAGTTATCACTTGAACTGTGCTTGACTATGCTCAGCCTGAAACTTGGCTCTGAGACAGCTCTCCCAGATTCTTGCTTCCTTGGACACCCGTGTCTTCCCCCTTCTGCTCAAGGATATGCTTTTCCCCACCCCAGGCACTCTTCTAGCTCCATAGTTTGAAAACTCCCCCCCAGGGCCAGCCTCTGTCTCAGGGGTCTGAAATTCTGAGAGATGGTTATTGTAAACTTGTTTTAGTGGGACAGGAAATATAGACTCCATGACTCCATTGCGGGCAGGAAGGGGGGAACATGTCTACCTTTAGGACCTCTGTTCAAGGTCTCACTACAGATTAAGGGGTATCAGAAGGCAAAGCTCTGTTTAAGGGTCAGAAATCATCACTCACCAGTGGTCAACAGGAAGGTCACAGCAGCAGACCCAGCAAGGTGTGGTGGAGGCTGTGGGATGGGTTATCACGCTCTAGGAGCCCTGGTTACTGGTTCTGAGGGTTCCCACAGCCAAGGACCCAAGGCCTGCTACTGCCCTGCTATGTGATGTCTCCAGCCTGCTTCACATCTCTCAAAAAGAATTTCCTGTTTTTATCCTTCAATAGCAAGAGATTTCACTGAATATACCTTAGTGAAGAAATTGTGTCCAATAGGCCCCAGTCTAATTCTATGGCACAGCCTGGTAGTTGCAAAGCATCTTTGCTTCATGCTGCCATTCTGTGTCTGTCATATTAAACCATATCAACAGGAGTAGAAGTAAAACTTTTAAATTTATTTATTTATTTATTTGTTGTCAGTTGTATGGCTTGAACTTGGGATGCAGGTGCTGTCCCTGAGCTTTTTCAATCAAGGTTAGTATTCTACACCACTTATGGTTTTCTAGTGTCTAATTGGAGATAAGACTCTCATGCACTTTCCTGCCTGGGCTGGCTTTGAACTGATTCTCTGATCTCAGTCTCCTGCTTAGCTAGGATTACAGGCATGAGCCACCAGTTCCTGGTTAGAATGATAGTATGTATGAGTCAAATTCTGAGCTGAGCCAGGTGCTGGTGGCTCACACCTGTAATCCTAGCTACTCAGGAGGCTGATATTTGAGGACTGTAGTTCAAAGCCAGCCTGGAGAGAAAAGTTGGTGAGATACTTATTTCTAATTAACCAGCAAAACCTCAGAAATGGAGGTGTTGCTAGTGGTAGCACACTAGCTTTGAATGAAAAAGTTAAGGGACAGTGTTTTTAGGGCCCTGAGTTCAAGCCCAGTACTGGCACAAAACCAAAACAAATTTCACTGGTTGTTGCATTTTTGGATATGGTACCCACATATTTATTTATTTTTGTTGGCCATAGGGGTCTGAACTCTGGGCCTGGGCACTGTCCCTCAGCTCTTCAGCTCAAGGCAAGAGCTCTACCACTTGAGCCATAATGCCACTTCTGGTTTTCTGCTGGTTTATTGGAGATAAGACTCTCACAGACTTTCCTGTCCAGGCTGGCTTTGAACCATGATCTTCAGATCTCATCCTCTTGAGTAGCTAGGATTACAGGCATGAGCCACCAGTGCCCAGAGGTACCCACATATTTTATCATGGGTACTGCCTGGTTTTTTTGGGGGGGTCCAGTTGTGGGGCCTGAACTCTGGGCCTGGGCACTGTCCCTCAGCTCTTCAGCTCAAGGCTAGCACTCTACCACTTGAGCCACAGCACCACTTCCCGCTTTTTTCTTTTTGCCTATGTGGTGCTGAGGAATCGAACCCAGGGCCTCAGGCATACAAGGCAAGCGCTGTACCACTGAGTCACCTTCCCAGTCCCTGCCTGGTTTTTGTAGCATGTCTAGACACTTGTTAAGAAGAGAAAGGAATGTGCAAACCAAGGCTTGCATTCATGCCAAAGCCAAAGCAGTCATGGACTCTCCTGGTACATTTTAATGAACAGAATCGAGATCTGATATAGTCATATATTGCTTAGCCACTGGGTGAAGTCCTGAGGAATGTGTCATTAGGCCATTACTGTGGGAAGATCAGAGAGTAGATGTAACATAATCTAAAATACTGCAATGTCATCAAGACAATATGTTATGGTACCAGCATTGTATATAGGGTCCATCATTAAATTGACCAGAATGTCATTATTAATCACCTGTTTCTACTTGAAAGCCTGTCAACAAGGAGAAAGAATTTGTGAACCTCTGTTTTTGCTGTGGAAGAACAGTACCAGCATGGAGGAGTGAAAGCCTCATGAACACACATCAGAATTCAAGACAGTCTCAGCTTCCTGGCCATTGGGTGTCTTCCTTATTAGACTCTGCTTCTTGGTGCAGCAGCATCTGTCCAATCAGTGAGGATCTTTGAAGAGGATCTTGGCCTGTGGAGATGCTGCAGTGGGACTCACAATTGTATGAATGATGACTAAGACCTTGCCTAACCCTCAATGTCCATAACTGCACCCATCCCCTTTGATCTTTCAATGAACCAATTTGACTTGACTTGTGCTTGGAATGGGTTGATTGAAAATGAGTAGGAGATTCAAAATAAAACCAGGGACTGGGAATGTGTTTTAGTGGTAGAGTGCTTGCCTAGCATGCATGAAGCCTGGGTTCAATTCCTCAGTACCACGTAAACAGAAAAAGCCAGAAGTGGCGCTGTGGCTCAAGTGACAAAGCGCTAACCTTGAGCAAAAGCAGCTAAGGGACAGTGCCCAGGCCCTGATTTCAAGCCCCAGGACTGGCAAAAAAAAAAAAAATGAAATGAAATAAAATGTTGGGCATAGCCTGAGTGACAGGCTTCTTGCTAATAAGTTCCAACAATGGATGATATGCCAGATTGAGCCCAAATGTAGAAACAACCTGAATCTCCTGTGACACTTATGCAGGGATAAATTGATTGTGACCTGTCTAGACAACAAGCCATTATTCTTCCAAAAGGAGGAATTTTGGATCTACCCTACAACAGTGTAGATCCTGGAAGGGCACAAAAGGACCCCAAATAGTGCCTGATCCCACAGCATGTGAGCTGTACCAACATGACCTGGAGTCTTCAGGTTCAGAGAGACAAAAAGTAGATTTGGTATCCCATGGGCATAAAGTTTCTGTTTGGGATGTTGGAAAGGTTCTGGTGGTGATGGTGATGTGGCACAGCAGTGTGAATATGCTGAGGCTACTGGACTGTACCTCTAAAATTGCTTCAGTGGCTCATACCTATAATCCTAGCTACTTGGGAGGCTGAAAGTGAGAGCATCACAGTTCAAAAACAGACTAGACAACAAAGAAAAGCCTGCAACATCCCTTCTCAACCAAGAGCTGGGTACAGCTTGTCATCCTAAGCTATATGAGAGGCCGAAATTGGGAGGATCACGGTTCCAGGCCACCCAGGAAGAAAAGTCCTATCTATTGTAATGGAAAGATGTTGGGCATAATTGTATGTCTCTGTCATCCCAGCTATGATGGGAAGCCTAAATAAATGGACCGTGTTCCAGGCATGTACCAAGACAAGAAGTGAAAACCTATCTTGAAAAGAGTAAGTTCAGCCAGATGCCAATGGCTCATTCCTGTAATCCTATCTATAAAGGAGGCTGAGATCTGAAGATCACAGTTTGAAGCCAGCCCAGGCAGGAAAGTACATGAGACTATTCTCTCCAGTTAACCTGCAAAAAGCTACAAGTAGAGCTGTGGCTCAAGTGGTAGGGTGCTAGCCTTGAGAGAATAACACTAAAGGACAGTGCCCAGAGCCTCAGTTCAAGCCTCAGGACCAGCACATAGACAAAAAAAGTAATAATGAATTTGAAAAGAGGGCTGGAGGTAAGGCTCAGCAGTGCAACACTTGACTGGCAAGGTTTAGACTTTAGTACTACAAAAAGTGGTTGAATGAATATATTTGCCTTTTTAATATTTTACCTAAATGTGAATATGGCTCGGTTACTTCTTTACCACAGACACTTATGTTCAGCAAAGTCAGCAAGTACCTCTAACCCACGAAGTTTCACTATGTTGCTTGAACTGGCATCAAATTTTTAGCTCAAGAGATCCTCCTGCTTCAGCCTCCTGAGTACTATGATGACAAGTGCATGCCACTGTATCTGGTTTTTATTTTACATTGAGAAATAAAAGGAAGAAATGAAAGAGAAAGAAAAAAGAAGGAAGGAAAGAGAAAAGAGAAAAAGAAAGAGAAAAGGAGGGGGGAGAGAGAAAAGAAGGAAAGAAAAGAAAGAAAGAAGGAAAAAAAGAAGAAAGAAAGAAGGAAAGAAAGAAGAAAGAACAAAACCCAGGCAGTGATTCCATCAGGCCCCAAGAGCATTGTAGTCTTTTCTGTGTCATGCCCCATGCACTTTCCACCCATAAGGGGAAGGTCGTGTTCTACCTTGTACCTGACATTCATTGAGTATAGGTTAGTCAGGCAGTTACCTATGTTTGCTTTCAAACTGGTTGTCAGGCTGGAATAGCTGATGACATCAGCAGCTTCCACCTTGCTGATTGGAAGAGACCGCATTCCGAGGTGCTCGGTGATAGGATACAGTGGATAACAGCATCTTTTCAGCTTTGTCCGCTGGTGACTTTTCTCTGGTTTAGAGAAGGTCTCCTTTCTCTAGTGGCTCAACTAGAGCCCAGAAGAAAGTGTTTGGACAGTTCAAAGTATAGGTTTGGTGGAAGAAAGAGGTTTTGTGAGACTCATGGCCGCTTCCCAACCATCTTCTACAAGTGAGGCTCAGAGTCCCCAGCCCTCAGGCTACTCTTCTGATATAGTGGTGGAAGAAGATGTTCCAGGGCCATCAGGTGAGGGTTTCGGATGAGAAGAGATTTAAGAGGGTGACTAGTACTGAGGAAGGGGTACACAAAAAGGAAGGAGGAACCCAGGATACCAGGGACTGGAGGAAGGGAGGACTAGAGATGGGACAAGGTTGTCCATGTGGATAGAAAACCTTCAGAGTAGTGGGGTGCTGATGGCTAATGTAATCCTAGCTATTTAGAAGGCTGAGATCTGAAGATCACGATTTGAAGCCAACCCAGGCAAGAAAGTCCATGAAACTTATCTCCAGTGAACCACCAGAAAACTGGAAGTGGAGCCATGGGCTCAAAGTGGTAGAGTGCTAGCCTTGAGTAGAAAAGCTCTGGGACAGCACCTAGGCTTTGAGCTCAAGCTCTACAACTGACAAAAAAAAAGAACTTTCAGAGCAAGCAAGAGTTAAGAGATGAGATGAAGAGCTGGAGCTTTTGGCTCACACCTGTAATCCTAGCTACTCAGGAGGCTGAGATCTGAGGATCATGATTCAAAACCAGCCCAGGGAAGGAAAGGCCATAAGATGCTTCACTTAACCACCAAAAAACCAGAAGTGAAGCTGTAGCTCAAAGTGGTTGAGCTCTAGCCTTGAGCAGAAAAGCTCATGGACAGAGCCCTGAGTTCAAGCGCTACTACTTGACCCCCTCACCCAAAACAAAGATGAGATGAAGGGCAGAGAAAGGGGGGAGTTGACACCTTTAGTGGAAGAAGTACTATAACAAGGAAGAGTTTTCAGAAAGGAGAGGGGACAATGACTAGGTGAACTGGGGGGAAGGGGGTTGACATAGATCATCATGAGGACAGAGAGAACAGTGGGTTGGGAGTTGAGTTTGGGGACTTTTGGGGGGCACTGGGGCAAGGCTTAGGTGGTTGAAAAGTGTTAACCCACCGGTATTACATGGGAGCAGGATTTCTTTACTCAGCCCCATGGATGAACCCCAGGCCCTCGCTTCAGCGCTCCAGTGTGAAGAGAAAGAGGGACTGGTCATCAGATTCTGAATCTGAGGAAGAGCCAGATGAAGAGATGGTACAGGAGAAGGAAATGGCTACCAAGCCCGAGTGGTCTGTGGAGAAACTGTGTGGGCTGAAGATGAGATTCAAGAGGCGGCGCCGCTCACTCGTGCTCCCTGTGCATCACGAGGTGTTCGCCAGGCTGCTCGGTAGGAACAGTCCCCCTGCCAGACAGCCATGGTACATCCTCTGCTACCAGTGCCTCAGGGTGTGCGGTCTGGGGTGGGAGGACAGATGATCACGGGGGACCCTTGACTGCTCTCATCCCTGGGGCACACAGATACCACCCCCAGGGACAAATAGATGACAATGTCCACACTAGTCCTGACAAAGGTTACATCCACCCCCAAAACAACTTAGTCTGCACTCTCCCCTCTGAAACATAGCACTTTTTTCTTTTTTCTGGATTTTGTGTTTTTTTTTGTTTTGTGCTGGTCCTAGGGTCTAGACACTGACCATGAGGTGTTTTTTTGTTTTGTTTTGTTTTTTGTTTTTTGTTTTTTTCCCTTCAAGGCTAGTGCTTAACCACTTGAGCCACAGCTTCATTTCTGACTTTTTTTTGGAGGGAGGTGGAGAGGGCAGTTTGTTGGAGATAAGAGTCTCACAGAGATTCCTGCCGGGGCTGGCTTTGAATTGCAATCCTCAGATCTCAGTCTCCTGAGTAGCTAGGATGGTAGGCCTGAGCCACCAGTGCTCAGCTTAAAGCATAGATCTTGCTGACGTTGCTGACCCAAGTGACTAACAGAGCCACATTCACATCCTAATGTGACATCAAAGGGTATCATTGCATGAACTACGTTTCAGCTTCTGCAGTGGTGCCTTAAGGTGCAACAAGGGGCCTCTGTTGAATCCAAGACCTGAATCCAGCCCATACTTGACTGGTACCTGGATGTTCTACTCTCCCTCTGTAGCAAATCAAGGTGGCTCAGAGAGACCACTGTCCCTTGCCTGGAGAACCTTCTTCTCTAACTCTTGCCCTGCATCTGTCCTTGGACGTGGCCACTCTGAAGGGAGGCAGGACCTCCCTGCCCTCTGCTCCCACAGCAGCCCTGTTGTTTCCTACCCTCACACATGTGCTCTGTCCACAGAGGATCCCGTGGTGAAAAGATTCCTGGCCTGGGACAAGAAACTGAGGGTGTCTGACAAGGTGAGGGGACTGCCCACTGAGTGGGGCCAATGTTGGGGAGAAGCCCCTCTAACCCACAGTCTTGTGTACCTGCATGACACCTCCTGACACGGCACAGTCCTGGCCCCTGATGACCTGTCGGTCTCTCCCTTGGGGCCTGGAAGTTTGTCATAGAGGGGATGGGTGGCCCCTGCTTCTGTGTGGGGTCAGGTTACCCTCTTGCCTTGGGAATCTGTGGCTGTTGCCACCTGTAAGTTTCTGCCCCTCTCCCTCCTTTCTGAGCCATCTGTCCTTCCCCCACCTAAGTGTTCCCAGTGCTGGTCATCAGGGGACATGGCTGATATCCCTCCTCTTGACTTCTCTGATTGGCCACCAGCCTTCCAGCCCTTCTTCTTCCCCGCTAAGCAGGTCATCCATACTGGGGGTCACTGCTCAGAGCTGTGCACCTGCCTCAGCTTTCCTTTCCTCTGTCCCCAACTCCCTCCTCTCCAGGGTGTGACCTCTCTTTTACTGTTTTCCTCTGTCTCCACCAGTACCTCCTGGCTATGGTCATAGCTTATTTCAGCCGTTGTGGCCTCTTCGCCTGGCAGCTTCGGCGAATCCATTTCTTCTTGGCTCTGTGAGTATTTTGTCTTCTCCTGTCCTACAGTCTCCTGTGAGGGATTGGAGAAATGGGCTGTGAGATTTCACCCATTTAACACCTCTGTTCTGTGCATTAAAGTATAGCTTTATTCTGGTGTTCCTTAAAAATTGTTTTTATATTATTAATATAAAGGCAATGTACAGAGAGGTTATAGTTTTGTGTTTTTGTGTGATTTTATTTTGTTGTTGTTGGTTGTGGGGCTTGAATTCTGAGCCTGGGTGCTATCCCTGAGCTCTTCAGCTCAAGGTGAGCACTCTACCACTTGAGCCACAGCACCACTTTTGGTTTTCTGGTGGTTAATTGGAGATAAGAGTCTCATGGACTTTTCCTGTCTGGGCTGGCTTTGAACTGTGATCCTCAGATCTCAGCCTCCTGAGTAGTTAGGATTACAGGTGTGAGCCACCAGCACCCAGCTAGAGGGTTATAGTTTTATAAGCCAGTTAATGAGTACATTTCTTTCTCTAACGCTCTCCTGGCTTTCCCCTCATATCCCCATCCACAAGTTGGATAGTTCATTTTCCACATTCCCATGTCCAGTGAGTACTACTGCTGTGTTTGTTAAGTCTGGTGTTCTTCAATTTAAAAAATTATCTTTAAGTAGTTGTTCAAAGAGCTTTCAATTCAATAAATCAGTTTATAAGTACAATGAATCTTAATGTCACACCTTCCACTGTTCTCCCTCACTTTTCCCAACCTCACTCATACCCTCAAGTTATGTGTTATACTGATTTTACTTAATGAAAAAAAACACAGCTGTAATATCAAGAGAAAAAAAATGAAACCAGGGGCTGGTTGTCCATGTAGGCTGCGATCTGAGAATCATGGTTCGAAGCCAACCTCAGACAGACAAATCTGAAAGATTCTTATCTCTAATTAATCAAAAAGCTGAAAGCAGAGTTGTGGCTCAAGTAGTAGAGCATCAGCCTTGAGCAAAATAGCTAAGAGTGTGTGGCCTGGAATTCAGCACACACACATACATAAACACATATATACACACACATGCACAAACATACAACTGGAACACAACCAAAGGCAACATAGAGGGGTGGAAGAGGGAAGGGACAGATCTGACTTCCACGCAAACAGTTCTGAGTGCAGCCATTTCGGACTCTCATTTCGATCCTTCCTGGACCTATCTCACTGTCATTCTATTTTCCTCCCTTGCCCTCTCAGTCAGGTGCCTAACCCAGGTCTATGGTGAAATTCTTGCTGCTGATGCTTCTTGCCAGCCACTCCCCAAATCAGTGGGTTTTGTGTGTGTCCAGACTATCCTTCCAAACACAGGCCAACTGCACCCAGGCTGCTTGGCAACTGCACTGCTAATTATTCTCCAGACTAAGGCTGGGCTTCTCAGTGCAAATTGAGCCAGCTGTACTATCTCTACAACCAAACTTGCTTACTGTCTGGATACATTCTTTCTTTCCCCACCTTTTTTTTCTTGCATCACACCTTTCCCGTGCTCTTCCTTCTATGTGTAGTTTGTTTCCTGGGCTGCTGTCCTCCTGTACATGTACCTAGAAACAATCACTATCCCTAAAGTCAATTCCAACACAAAAAAATTAGACTCATGGGACTCATGGTTAGCCCACGTGGTTGCGAGGCCAAGGGCAGGAGAAACATTTGAGCCCAGGCGTTTGACACCAGCCAGGACAACATCGGCACAACCAAACCAAATAAAAAATAGCCTAAACCATTTTGCTCCCTTCACGAACCCGCCAGTTCTGCCATCATAAGATTAAAGTCTCTTGCCCCCTCCCACTGCCCCCGCTTCCCCAATCCCATTAGACACGATTGAAGGCAGGACCCTGTCAAATGACACCTCAACCTTGAAACACTCAGCTCTTTTCTTTTTGTTTTTCGGATCCAGTCGTGGGGCCTGAACTCTGGGCCTGGGCGCTGTCCCTCAGCTCTTCAGCTCAAGGCTAGCGCTCTACCACTTGAGCCACAGCACCACTTCTGGCTTTTTTCTTTTTGCTTATGTGGTGCTAAGGAATCGAACCCAGGGCCTCAGGCATGCAAGGCAAGCGCTCTACCACTGAGCCACCTTCCCAGCGAAACACTCAGCTCAAATCTGTTTCCTTTGCATGTTTTTGTTACAGTCAATGAAGGTAATCAGTATGGCATGTGCTGGCACTCATGTAATAATTTTTTTTGTGCCAGTCCAGGGGCTTGAACTCAGGGCCTGGGCACTATCTCTGAGCTTTTTTGGCTCAAGGCTAGCATTCTACCACTTGAGCCACAGCTCCACTTCTGGTTTTTTTTGCTGGTTAACTAAAGATAGGTATCTCCATGGATTTTCCTGTCTGGGCTGACTTCCAAACCACAATCCTCAGATCTCAGCCTCCTGAGTAGCTAGTAGTACAAGCATGAGCCACCAGTGCCTAGCAACAAAATCTTATGAAAAGCTTCCTCTTTGCCAAGAGTCTAAGGTCATGGAAACAAAAATCTAAGAAATCCCGGTTGAATCAATTGTGCCTCATAAACCAAGCCCCCAAGTGACCATTTGGTAGGGCAGAAAGAAATTGACAAGTAGACCAGGGATAGCCTGTGGACCTTGGGTCTGGCAGAAAGATAGGTGCACATGAGGGAAGAGAGTAAGCATGATGGTGATGAGCAAGTCTGAAGTCATCTATGTGGCACAAGAATGGAAAATCCCAGCCTTGAACTCTCCAGATTAGTTTTGTCTTCACCATCATTCTGAGAGAGGGGCCTTCAGGGGCCTCTGCCCTGCTGTGAGCTCTGGATGGGCTATGAGGGTACACTAGGTGCAGGTGCTCCCTGACACCTGCTCTGATTTCTCTCCCCAGCTATCTGGCCAATGACATGGAGGAGGACAACCAGGCTCCCAAACAAGACATTTTCTACTTCCTCTATGGAAAGAGCTATGCAGAGCGCCCCATGTTCCACAAATTGCGCTACCAGTGGATTCGGACCATGGGCTGGAATGTTCGGGTTTCCCGAGAGGAGTGTGAGGAGGTGGGGATATGGAGCTGGAGGAGGAAAGGCTGAATGGAAGAGAGATGGGAAGGGATGGGTAGAAGAGGGATGTTGGGACTAGAAGGAAAAAAAATTGGAGGTTGGAGAAATGGAGGCAGTCCTTGTGAGGAGCAGCACTTGTTTAGGGAATTGTTTTTCTTTCCAGATTCAAAGTTACGATCCAGATCTCTGGGTGTGGGGGCGAGACCGCAACCACTTGTCCTAGGACTCTCTGGACTATGAAGGTCCTCAGCTTGAAGGCAGGTACGTCTGCATCTTCTGGGGTATAGATGGAAGGATCTGTCCTTTCATTAGGAAATCCACGGATCCACTTCCTTGGCCATTCTCATCCCATTCCATTGGATCAGACTGACATGGCCCAGCCATGTCACAAGGCTGGCCCCTCCCCTCATCATTGCCCAGCACAGAAATAACAACCACAGGGACATGGCCTTGAAAGACATGCTGAGTGACTCAAGGACAGCCTGACCTCAGAATTACCCATTGATCACGGGGGTGGGGTGGGGGTACCAGGTTGGGTAGACATCATTTAACTCCAAGAAGTTGGATCCAAATGATAGCTTTGAAATAATGTTGATTTCTGTTATCAGTTCATATCCCCTACCTATAACTTCTTCCCCTCCCCCCCAAATTTGTGCTTTTAGTTTCTCTTAATTCATTTGTTGGTTCCTTGTGGGATACTAGCTTTGGGGATGTATTTGTCACAAAATGAAAGTTTTAAGAATAGGCCATTGAACAGAAGTCTCTATATTGGCAATGAAAAATAACCATTGGCTTCTTTGCATACTAATTTGCCTTCAAATAAATTGCTTATGGCCAGAATTCTTTTGCTTTCTTACTCCCTTTCACTTTCCATTGCTAGATCAAATTCTCCTCTTGAAAAATTCCAGTTTTACCCTTCAGGTTATGATCAAGAGAGTCAGAACTGTGCAGGTTAAGAAATAGAAGGTTCTAGCAGAGTGCTGGTGGCTTATGCCTGTTATCGTAGCTACTCAAGAGGCTGAGTTCTGAGGATTTTAGTTCAAAGCCAGCCTGGGCAGAAAAGTCTGTGAGACCCTTATCTCCAATTAGCCACCAAAAACCAAAAGTGGAGCTGTGGTCAAATGGTAGAGTGCTAGCACTGAGCACAAATTCTCAGGGACAGAGCCTAGGGCCTGAGTCCAAACCTCAGGACTGGCTGGCACGTACACACACACACACACACACACACACGGATGATGAGGCTAGAGATGAAATTGGATCATTAAGGGGTTTTAAACTCTTAAGTGGAACTGACTTAGTGTGTCAATCATTTTCATGCCTGGAAATTTTCATCTGACATCCTATGTCTTTGCCTCCCAGATTGCAGGACCCAAGGACATATACATTTTCAACAGGAAGTCTAACCAACACTTACCACAACCCCCGATGAAGGAAGAGAGGAGCCCTCTTACAGAAAATCTGAAGAACCCAGACTCTATACTTGCATAAAACTGCCACAAACCCACCTGGGAACTGAGGGTACATTTAGGACCTCCTGGAGGGACAATGACAAACCAGGATTCTTTCTGCATCTCTCTTCCCACCACTTTTAGATTGTAAGATTCCAGTCTCTCCAAAATTGAAGGTCCTGATTTTTGTGCCGATTTTGATGATGGAGTCAAAAACTATCTGAAGTTAGACTGTAAGAACTCAGACTGGAATCTATACAATTGAAAAATGTATAGTTTTAATTTGAAAATAGAGTTTTAATAGATAGGATTAATATATATATACATTTTACTGTATTATTTTGAATAGGTTGGACATGGAATTATTATTGATCTTTATTTAAATAATTTAGAGATATTTATAGTTTCAAAATAGTTTCCTATTGTTTTGTGATCTCATGTATTCATAAACATTTTGACTTATATATCATTCATACCAACAGCTTCCATATCTATAAGACTTAAGCTATAAGCTTAACTTAATCTATAAGCTAGGTGGCATTAGCTCAAATTCTTGTAAATATCAATTTTGATTTGACACGTCTTCCTAATTGGCTTGTAAGCAGTGAGCTGTACTTGGTTAATTTTTCTGAATATATCTCTATGTCATTTTAAGCAGGACATTTCTTTGGAAAGAATACATGTGAATTGTGTTTGTAAAGAGAGCACTGCCACAATTTCTTTGGGAAAATGCAATAAAGATGAAATATCTCCTACCTCAAGACATGTGTGATTATATAAATATTGTTTAACACCATTGTGCCTATTTGGGAAAATTCTGGGCCCTGAAACAGAACCATGGATTTTTTTAATGTAGGGGGGAAAATTAAAAGGTGACAAATCTTCAGCTAGAACTTGAAGCCCCAAACAAGGGGAAAGGTATTGAGGGAAAATCATTCAGAAGAATAGAAAGAAGAGAATTTCATGGGTGGGGAAAAAATAATCCCCCACTGAACTGAAACAAAAATGGTCAAAACTTTGGTATTCCCTTCCTTAAATCTGCCCAGTTCTGCCTCTGGATGGAACTTCTCAGTAAGGTAAGTAGAGGAGCATGATGATCTTTCTGAAGCTGTGAAGATACTCGAGGTTCCTGTTCTTCACACGATGAATCAGGGGAGATAGGAAAGAGAAAAAAAAAGACTTTCTGATCTTGTATAACCGAAAGCATGCTGGTCAGTTAAGCGTAGTTACTGAAGTCACACTGCAGTTGTGAGCGTAGTTAGGTGCCTGCTCCTATTATATTTTGTTGTCTGAATAACTGACTGCAACATCATATCAGGAAATCCACCATGCCCCAAATCTGAACTTTAGATTTGAATGACCTTCAGAAAAGAATGTCTACCATGAGGGGCTGCTGGGAAGGTGGCTCAGTGGTAGAGCGCTTGCCTTGCATGCAAGAGGCCCTGGGTTTGATTCCTTAGCACCACATAAGCAAAAAGAAAAAAAGCTGGAAGTGGCGCTGTGGCTCAAGTGGTAGAGCGCTAGCCTTGAGCTGAAGAGTTGAGGGACAGCGCCCAGGCCCAGAGTTCAGGCCCCACGATCAGACACCCCCCCCAAAAAAAGAATGTCTGCCATGAATTCTCCTAAACATAAGATAGAGGGGCTTGAGGTAGGGAGTGGGGTGGGGGGGACAGTGGACATAGAAGCACATCCCTGGAAAGGAGGCACAGAAAAGGCAGAGGCAAAGGTTCTTTCCTCTGAGGAAAGATGGAGGAAGAGTCCAGGAAACCTGGAGAGGGAGGACATGTGACTGACACCTGGCCAATCAGCAGAGACTATCTTCCTTTCCCAGTTGATTGGCCAATGTCTAGATATGAGCCCAGTCAGGTCCCATAAATCAGGACTGTCTTGGAACCCTGGGGTGGCAGTTACTGAGGCAGTTGGTGTGTCTTGCAGTTGCTGACAGTTAGTGCCATATTAGCACTTGAAAGGCAGAGTCCAGCACACAGGGCAGTAAGCAGAGCCTCAAGGTCAGGAGAGGTAATTTCTGGTACCATCATCCAGCACTCGGGTACATCCATGCCTGACACCATCTGCCATTAGATTTCTTAGTTGTCTGATTTTTTTTCAAAGCTAGGGATTGAACTCAGGATCTCATAGTTGTTAGGGGAGCAATTTACCCCTTTGCCATACCCTGGTAATTTTGCTTTTACTTCGTGTGTGTGTGTGTGTGCGCGTGCACGCGCGCGCCAGTACTGGGGCTTGAACTCAGGGCACAGAGCCTGAGTGTTGTATTTGAGCTCTTTTTTTTTTTTTTAAGTCAAGGCTAGTACTCTATGACTTGAGCCACAGCTCTACTTCAAGCTTTCTTGGTGCTTAATTGGAAGATAAGCATCTCACCAACTTTCCTTCCTGGGCTGACTTTGAACTGTCATCCTCAGATCATAGCCTCCTGAGTACAGGATTACAGGTGTGAGCCTCCAGCACCCCGCTGCTTCTACTTTTATTTTTCAGTTAGAGGCTTATGCTTACTGTACCCAGAAGGGCCTCGAACTTGTGATTTTCCTGTCTCCTCCAACTATTTTAAGAACACAGGCGTATACCACCATGTATACCTATACTCCTTAGTTTTGTAAATCCTCTCCCAATTTGGTGATCTAAGCCACTTTGAATTTTATTCCAGTAGCCAACCAAGGTCAGCCAGTTCCTCCAGCTGTCTTAAGGGGTGAGCCAGGAGCTGCAGGAGCATGGACTTAGGCTAGATACCAGGATGGGCATCCTGGGTACAGTGTGGTGTGGGACTGCCAGCACCCATGCCCACGAAGCTCTAATCTGGAGGATTCGAGCAATGTCGGTGATGGCAGGCAGAGGTCAACACACCTATATTCCCCCGAGAATGCTCTGAGGATAAACCCGGATCAGGAAACAACCTGGACTCACTGAGAGGACAAAAGTGAGGCTCAGGAAAGAACAGAATCAGAAAGAGCAGGTGCAGAGCTGCGGTGTAGACCCTGTGAGTGTTCAGGAAAGCAGCAGGTGCACTGTGAACTGTCTAGGTGATGGTGCTCAAGCGCTCAGTGCCCTTCCCAGCACTCTGGGGGTGTCTGACCCCCAATTGGGGGGGTTCTGCTCCACAACCCCAGGATGTCCACAGTCACCTCTCATCTTCATGAATTTATGGCAGGTATTTTGGTTTCAGTCTAATGCTCTGGAAAAACCTATGAGGATTTGTGATTTTTTTTTTCCTCCTCAGGAGCAGTGTTGGATCCTATTTCCTTGTGGCCACTTTGCTGCTTTTACTAGAAACCCAAAAAGCAAAAGAGCCAATACCAATGGCCCTGCATTTTTACCATTTTGTTGTCCTCTCAATGAAATTTTATTTTATTAATGTCCCAATTAAAACTAATCATTCCAGCACTTAGTGGAGTCAGTCATATGCCATCATAAAAGGAGACCTTGAGGGTCCTAACATAATGCTATCAAGCATAACTACTGGACTAAATTGCTGTATGGAATTAGAATAACTAATTGCTAAATATTTATTTTTTGGGTGCTGTCCCTGAGCTCTTTTGCTAAAGGCTAGTGCTCTACCACTTTGAGCCATACCTTCACTTCTGGTTTTCTGGTAGTTAATTGGAGATAAGTGTCTCATAGACTTTCCTGCCTGGGCTGCCTTTGAACCATGATCCTTAGAGCTCAGCCTCTTGAGTAGCTAGGATTAGAGGTGTGAGCCACCAGTGCTCAGCTTAAATTTTTTTTCTTTTTGCTTATGTGGTGCTGAGGAATCGAACCCAGG